CCAACCTTCCTTCCAAGGAGTGGCTGGTGGGTTTGAACTGTCAGTTTTCTGGTTAGCAGTCAAATGCCTTAGGCACTACACCACCAGAGCTCCCATGTCAAGGCCATGAATTTAAATAATCTAGTGTCCAAACTTCCATTCTCTGCCATCTTTAATCTATCCTGCATACTATTTGCCATGTTAATCTTTCTCCAGTGTTTTCAGAGGATCCCTATCTATGAAAATAAGCATAAATTTTTCCATATGACTCCCAACTGCTTTTCTAGCTTTTTTTCTCAATAGTGTTTTCCCTATAATCTTAATTTAGATCTGGAGTCTGCAAACTATGGCCCTTGGACCAAATTTAGCCAGCCACTTATTTACATAAATAAAGTGTTACTGGAACCCAGAACCACCATTCCCTTATGTATTGTCTATAGCTGTTTTCACACTACAACAGCAGAGTTGAGTAGTTAGGACAGAGATCGTATGACCCACAAAACCTGAAATGTTTACTAAATGGCCCTTTAAGAAGCTCTGGTGGCTGCTAACCAGAAGGTCTGTGGTTCAAACAGATCAGCCTCTTTGCAGAAGGAAGATGGGCAATCTACTTCCATAAAGATGTACACTCTTGAAAACCCAGTGAGGGTCTCTATGAGTCAGAATCAACTCGATGGCAGTGAGTTTGGTTTTGGTTTGGTTATATGGCCCTTCACAGAAAATAGTTTGCCAACCCCTGATTTTGATTTACAACCTGACTTACTGGAAAGAACATGAGCTGTGGGAGTCAGACAGACCTGAGTTTCACATTTAATGCCACTAGGGTCAAGAAGCCTTAGTTTCCTTATTTATAAAATGGGGGTATAATTCTTAACCTCTGTAGTCATGGGGTTAGTTAACATACACAAAAGCATATATTCTTGACAAATGGTAAGCCTTCAATACAAGCTTCTTTCATCTGTGTCCTTTTCCTACTCCTTTGCTCAGGTTATGGCTTTGCTGCTTTAGTTAGGAATGGGTTTCCTTTCATTCTTTTTTGCTTCCACCTCCATTTTTGCCTCTCAGAACTCTATTCATCTTTCACACAACCTCCTCAGTGAAAATTTTCCTGATTCTCAACATTTAGATGTAATTTCTCATTCCCCTACATCATGTTTTATATTCCCTTCTAGACTATGAGTTCCTTAAGAGTTAGCCATTACTTAAATTTATATCCCCTACATAGTACCTCACATGGAATAAATGCAAAACAATTATTTGCTTATTTGTATTGAACAAATTAAAAAGGAAGAATCAGTGTAGCCTGGTATTTTTAGAGAGTACTTCATTAAAAGGATCCTCTCCAATGTATGGATGATCAATGAGGGCATAGTGAGTAATTAAGAAAAATGTAAGGTAAAATAGACGTTTTAATTTCTAGTTATCTACTTTATGATATGATAACCTTTCAGTTTTCCATAGTAGTATCTAGATGCTTGTACTGGATGCCTGTTGCCACATCACAAATTACTCTAAAACTTAGTTGGTTAAAACAAGCAGCATTATTTCACATAGTCTCAGGAGCAGCTTAGCTGAGTGGTTCTAGCTCAGGGTGTTTCATGAGGTTGCAGTCACGGTGTCATATGGGGCTATGCTCATCTGAAGACTTGAATGGGGCTGAAAAATCTGCTTCCAAGCTCTCTCATGAGGCCCCTGGCAGGATGTGTCCCTTCCTCACCATGTAGACTTCTTCATAGGGATGTTCACGACATGGCTTCCCCCAGAATGAGCAATCCAAGAAAGGGAATGAGTGAAAGTGACCAAGACAGAAGGTACAATGATGTGACAGTCATTTCAGCTTTATTTTATTGACCATACAGACCAACGTGGTAAAATGTGGAAGGGGAACTACACAAAGGCATGAATATCAGGAGACATGGGTCATTGAGCCCATCTTGGAGGCTGGCTACCACAATACTCGATTGTTGGATAGGGTTTATTCCAAAGGAATAGTCTTTACTTTTTTATATGAATGAAGCAACTGTCATCTCTAATCTGTGTCAAAGTTTTTTTTTTTTTAATTGTGGTGAAAATATATATAACAAAACCTTCACCAATTCAACAATTTCTACATGTACAATTCAGTGACATTGATTATGTTCTTTATGTTATGTAACCTTTATCACTATCCTTTTCTGAAATATTCCACCACT